GGCACATGCCCGGGTTGTGGGCTCAATCGGGTTCGAGTCTGGTCAAGGGCACATGCCCGGGTTGTGGGCTCAATCCCCAGTAGGTGTGTGCAGGAGGCAGCCAGTCAATGATTCTCTCTCATCATTGATGTTTCTCTCTCTCTCCTTCTTCCTTTCTGAAATCAATAAAAATATATTTAAAAAAATTTGTTGTCAAAATTATAGTGTCTCTGATGTTCCACCAGAACATTCCACCATCACAGGGAGGTTGCTCACAGACACTGGGGGCAGAGAGGGCTGTCTGGACAGGGCCATGTACAATCACAGGGATCACTGGTCACTGGCCGCTCTCCAGACAGGGGCGTGGGGGGCAGTGCTGCTGCGAGGCCACCGCGTCGGCAGCATTGCTCTCAGGCATCCTCTGATGGCATCCAGCAGGCCGAGTGTGGCCTGCTTGGCTCCAGGCCTCCGGTCATTGCTGGCGCCAGTCTCACCTTAATTTGAGCCCCTGCCACAGGGGTCACCGGCCAGTCTCTATCCCGTGAGCTCCTGGAGGACCTAGATATGCTTTGCATCAGCCAGTGCCCACTGCGTGAGGACACCCGCAGGACTGGCCAGAGAATGCCCACCGCAGTTTGGCTTAAACTTTAACAGAGCTATTGTATCAAGCCCACTCACTTCATTGTTTTCTACATTCTTCTGACCCCTTGATACGCAGCACATTTTACACGTTATGAACCATGGTTGCCCAATGACCAGCACCTTGTTCGCTTTTCCCATAGCGACCTAGTTTTCACGCCTTCCCACGACTTCGGTTTTTCCTCACTTTCTGCTACTGTCATTTGTTTTCGTTAAGATGCACATTTCAGATGTTACTAAAAGATATTCCTTTCAAAAGCATTTTTATCAGTGAAGTTAAACAGTACCTTGCTTTTGTGAATTACCTTGTTGGGTAGAGCTAAGTGACTCAGTGCTCTACAGGTAAATTTAGGAACTGCTACTTGGTTAATTTCTTTGTTCTCAGCGACACAGTCAGGCAGCATGATGGTAAGTGGGCCCCCCACCCCTCCCTCACCAAGTGCAGACACTTAAGCCGAGTATTTAAGGAGAAACCGAGAAGTGTGTTAAGTAGGCAAATGGTGTGTATGTGGTGGGGGTGGTGATAGGGCAGCAGGACAACAGGTGCAAAAGCAGGGCAGTCAGAAGAGGAAGTAAAGGCCAGGATGCTGTTGGCAATTGATTTGGTAAGATCAAAGGGAGTGTGTGAGAGTCCCGGGCATGGGCCTGGACAGACAGGAAGGGACCCGGTCAGGGAGGGCCCCTCTGTTCTATTAAGGAGTTTGGACTTTCTACTTCGTACGTAATGGTAGGACGGCGTTTTCCAGGGGGCTCTCGGGGTGAGTGACGCGGCCAGATGGAAGTTTTGATGGGCTGCTGAGGCAGAAGCGAGGCAGACAGCGGCAGTGACCGAGAGCAAAAGGATGAGGGGGACCCTGTTGAGCTGATGACTGCACGTGAGACCCTGAAGCCGCAGGACGGGGAGCCACAGGCAGAAGAGCCTGGGTCCTCGACTTAGCATTTGGGAGGGAGCTGCTCAGGAGTCACCTCTCAGGGGCATCTGAACTGCGTTTTGCGTAAGAGGAATAGAGTTCTACTGTGTTTAAACCACTGAGATCTTTTGATTTGTCTTGTATTTTCCCCAGCTTTTAGCCTATGCTGTGGTATAGGTGTAAAGGAGTCAATGGTGGTACTATTTGTCCAATATATCGAGGACAGAAAGGAATCGATTCAGCAGGTGATGACGCATTTGGTTCAGCTATATACCGAACTTAAGAGGCCAGTGCGATAGCAAAACGCAACTTGTTGAGAAGCAATTCTCTTGAGTTTCTGCACATCTTGAGAGCAAGGCACTGACTGCCCTTCATTTGAGACGGTTTTTTCAGGGATGTTTGTATAGCCAACAACCTTTGAAGGAAATCCACACGACGTTTGAAAAAAAGACCGTGTCTCCCTCTGGAGAGAAGAGCAGGCTTCTGCCCGCCGTGAGATTTCAGTTTGCTAAGCTCAGGGTCCCTCTTCCATGGGGCACCGAACTGCACGGGCATGTTTCACCTGACCTTCATTTGACCTTGTGGGAACTAGGGTTCAGGGAACCAGCATGAAACTGCTGATACTCTGGGTGCTGTTATTGCTGTGAGTAATCCACTGCCTTTTATCTCCGACTTCGAAGGCTTGTCTTTTACCAGCATCCTTGAAGCTCTGGCAGGCTGACTTGATAACTTGGACGCAGAGAAAACCTCATATTCTTTACAGTCTGGACAGAGCTGTCCAGAGATGGTTAGAGACACAGGTTTGGGGCCCAGGACTGAGGTCCCATCAGAGTACAGGTGGGTTGAAGTCACAGGGTTGGTGAAGTAGCCATGCTAGGTGAGAGATGAGAAAGTAGAGAACCTTGAAGAACACTGATGTGTGTGTGTGTGTGTGTGTGTGTGAGAGAGAGAGAGAGAGAGAGAGAGAGAGAGAGAGAGAAGGGGGAAAGAGAGAAGAGCATATGGAGCCGACCAAGACAGAGATCTGAGAAATAAGAATTTGAGCTTCAAACAGGAGTGGTTAGGAATGTTAATTACTTGGACTTCAACGAGATAAGCAGGCTGGATTTGAAACTTGAGAATCACTGGAGACGTTAGTGTGACTAGCTTCCAGGGAATGAAGACAAAGTTCAGAGTGCCATGGACTAAAAAGCCCGGAGGAGGTGAGAATGGGAGGACAGTGCGATCCATGTTTCAAGAAGTGGGTGGAAAGGAGAGAGGGTTATAATTAGCGAGGGGTCTAGGGTTTTGGAAAGTGGTTCTAGAATCACGCGCACACACACAGCTATATCTCACCCTTGTCTCTAAGGTTTTCCAATCGGACAATTGACTTTTCTAAACCAATTTCACACCAGTTTCCATCATGAAGTACTAGTATGCGTCTAATAGATTTACGAGCTCCATACTTCTTCTCCAAAACATCTTGCTTATTCCCACTCAATGCCCAGACGAACCCCAACCACCCTGCTGAAGCTGCCCTTTCTTCAGTCGGGGTTTCCCTGCGGGCTACATGCCTCACCTCCGGCTAACAATGAGGCTCCTACTGTCCATCTCTCTTTCTCGGCACTTTTTAAGGTTTCCCAGCTGTGCCTCAACTCTTACAGTCCAAACAGACTGGCTCTTCCTGAGGCAGTGTAGTATGAGTGGCCGAGAGCCTGGGCTTGAGGAGCAGACAGGACTGGAACCAGGCACCGGCTCTGCTATGAATGACCAAGCAGACAGGGCAAGTCCCCTGAGTCCGCAGTCTCAATTTCCTCTAATGTAGACGGAGAGTCTCACCTTACAGGACCAGCGGGACGTTTACATCGGTACATACAAAAGGCTTGATATGGTGCCTGGCTCGTGTAGGTATGCAACTTTGTCCTCAAACATTTGCTGGGTAAATAAAACATTTAACTTTTGATTATCAAGAACAAGTTTTATAATTTTTGGCTTTAAACAGCTTTATGACTTGGAAGAATTTAAAAGGAGAAAAAGTAGAGAGAAGAAAGCCAGCCCGAACCGGTTTGGCTCAGTGGATAGGGTGTCGGCCTGTGGACTAAAGAGTCCCAGGTTCGATTCTGGTCAAGGGCATGTACCTTGGTTGTGGGCACATCCCCAGTAGGGAGTGTGCAGGAGGCAGCTGATCGATGTTTCTCACTATCCCTCTCCCTTCCTCTCTGTAAAAAATTAATAATATATATATATATTTTTAAAAAGCCATCTTTTGCATGTCTGCAGATATTTACCTTCCTCATTCTCTTTATTACTTTTTGGGGATCCAACTTTCTAGCTGGTGTCATTTCCTTTCAGCCTGAAGAAGTTTCTTTAGCATTTATTGTGATGTGGATTTCTTGGTGGTAAATTCTTCCGTTTTCTCTTTTCTCAAAATGTCTTTGTTTCACCTTCATTCTTGATGGACAGAATTCCAGGTCCATTGTTTTTTTCATACTTTCAAGATGTTGGTCCGTTCTCTTTTGGCAGGAATAGTTTCTGATCTCAATTCACCTGTTAAATCATCGTTTCTCAGTGTGTAATCTGTCCTTTTTCTCTTACTGCCCTCAAGATTTGCTATATATATATTAGGCTTTCCACAGCTTGAGTATGGCATGTCCTGCTGAGAGATTTTTTCTGTTTACTCTGGTTCCTGTTCATCGATGATCTTATAGTTTTCACTTTTTTCCTGTTCTTCACACTGGATAATTGTTACTGATTGCTCTTCAAGTATACTTACTTATTATTCTCATTTCCATTCACCTGATATGTCTATCCAATAATTTAAAAATTTCAGATGCATTTTTCAGTTCTAGAATTTTTTCCTTTGATCATTTCTATTTCTCTCCTGAGATTTCTTAATTTTTACTTATTGAAAGCACATTTTATTTAACTTCATTGAGGAGCGTTGTAATAGCTGTTTAATATCCTCCTCCGCTAGGCACAGTATCTGGAATACCCTGGCAATGGACTTAGTGGATTTTCTTTTCTTTTGAGAATGTGTTCCATTTCCTTGGTTCGTTATGTGTTGGACAGTTTATTATTATATCCTGGATATTATGAATGTTAAATTGTGGACATTTTGGATTCTGTTATTTTTCTCTCATGGTTATTATTTCTTTTGTTAAAGCAGGTAATTACCTTGTCTGTGCTTGAATTGCAAACTCTGTTTCTGGGTGACAGTCCATGCTCAGTTCAGACATCCTTTCTCTCTTTTCTCTTCTCATAGGACTCCCTTATGTGTCTGTTAGTCTGTCTGTGACACCCCACTTGTCTCCGAGGCGGTTCATTTATTTTCATTTTTCTTTCTGTTCCACTGAGTGGATAATTTCAATTGACAACTTCAATTTCATAAATTCTTTCTTCTACCAGTTCAAATCTGTTACTAAGGCCCTGAAGTAAAATTTTCATTTGTTATTATACTTTTCAACAGCTGAATTTCTCTTTGGTTCTTTTTTATGATTTCTATCTCTTGATATTCACTATTTGGTGAGACATCATTCTCATACTTTAATTCTTCAGCCATTTTTTTTTTTTTAGTTCTTTGGACATATTTATAATAGCTGATTAATGTCTTTATCTAATAAGGTCAAAATCTAGGTTTCCTCAGGGACAGTTTCTATTGGCTGCTTTTTTCCTTTTGCATGGACCGTTCTTTCTTATTTTCACACGTTTCAGTTTTTTGGTTTAAATTTTAATACTTTAATGAGTTAAAATGTAGTAACTCTGACATAAGGTTCTTGCTCCACCCCTCCAGTCTGGGTGGTTGTTGCTGTTCTTCTGTGCAATGGCTTTCCTGACCAAATTCTGTAAGTTCTGTATTCCTTGTTGTGTGCTGCCAGATACGTCTCTGCTCAGTCAGCTTAGTCACCAGATTTCCTTAAGCGCCCCGAACCAGTAAGCCTCTCACCCTTCGCTGATGGGCTCTAGATGTGCTGGGACATGCCTTCAGGATTTCAGCAGCTTACAACTCTGACTTAGCTTTCAATTCTTGCTGACGCAGAACCTCAAGGTAGGCCAGAGGTGAGTCTTCTCTGGGCTTTCTGGGCATGCGCACAGCCCTACAAAGCAACCTGCATACAGATCCCCAGGAACTGGTGAAGCTCTTCAAAGCGCCCGATGAGCATCTAATTCCCAGATCTCTCTTTCAAGGTTTGTGGCCAGCCTCTTGTTTGTTCCAACTGGTATTTCTGCCTCAGGCAGCTGTGCTATTAAACAAGTGCTGCTGGCTGTTTTTTTTATTTTTTTTATTTTATTAATTTTATAAATGCTCTAGTGTTAAAACTTTCCTCACTGAGCAAGCGCTGAGTCAGGTCAAATAAAGATAAGCCCTGTAAATGCACTTTTCCGGGGAGCTGCCAGACAGGTCAAATAGTGACAAATTTCTAGGAATGTGGCTTTTTGGGGAAACCCAAGCCAGGCTGCTGGTTTCCTCAGTGACGATAGTTCTGAGTCTGTTGGTTTTCAAAGCTAACATAGAGCTGGGAAGAATGAGGGCAAGTTAAAATGCCACAGAACTTACTGTTCTTACTGATTTTTAGCCATTTTCTTGAATAAGTGCTCTTCATTGTTGCAAATCTTTGGTTAATTTCCAAAGCTCTGAAGATGTTGATTTTTTTTTTAAATGAGAGGGAGAGATAGAAACATCAATGATGAGAGAGAATCATCAATCGGCTGCCTCCTGCACACCCCCTACTAACAGAGCTGGCAGATGGCTTTAGGGCAAGATAAGGCATTCAGTGCTTCTTCTGAAAAAATAAAAAAAATGAGCAATAAAATGGCAATAAGTACATATGTATCAACAACTGAACCTAAAAACAAAATAAATGAACAAGCGGAACAGAAACAGACTCATTGATACAAAAAACATTTTGAAGGCTGCCAGATGGTAGGGGGGTTGAGGAGGTGAGCAAAAAAAGTGAACGGATTAAGAAGTAAAAATTGGTTGTTACAGAATAATCATGGGGATGTAAAGTGCAGCCTAGGGAATATCGTCAATAATATTCCAATAACGATATATGGTGTCAGATGGATGCGAGATTGATTGGGATGATCACTTATAAGTTATGTAATGGACTGGGGTGTACACCTGAAACTAATATAATGATGTATGTCCACTGTAATTGAAAATAAAAAATGATATTTAACAAAAGATATTCCATGTGAATCTAGAGATTCTAAGGAATACAATCTATTTTTGAACTCTGTCTACTAAGGTCTCTTTAATGGTTATTAAATTATGTATGAAGTTGGAGGCAATTTTACTTTAGGATTTTACTGACACCTAGTGGTAAATATGGATGTCAATCTATATATATATAAAAGGCCAGTGGGTATGATGCACACTGACCACCAGGGGGCAGACGCTCAATGTAGGAGTTGCCGAGCAACAGCAACTTTGCAGAGTGCCCTCTCGCACTCGGGGACCCCTGGGGGATGTCTGAGAGCCGGTTTCGGCCCGATCCCCGCAGGCCAAGCAGGCCGAGGGACCCCCACCTGCCAGAGGGACCCCCTGCTCACTCCGCAGACGCCAGGGAGGGGCCGTGGGAGGTTGGCTCCAGGGTGTGTCCAGCCGGACCATGGGAGGTTGGCTCCAGGGCGTGTCCGGCCTGTCTCGCTCAGTCCCACCCCGCTGGCCACCTTCTAATTAATTTCCTTTCATGTGCACGAATCCGTGCACCAGGCCTCTAGGATAATATAAAATCTTAGATGATAATATATACAACTACTACAAAAATAAAACTATTCAGTATTTATAAAAATTATAAGTGCACATAGTGGTAAAAATATATTAATGTTTTTAAAAAATATTTTTGATTGATTTTTTTAGAGAGAGGAAGGGATAGGGAGAGAGAGAAACATCAAGTTTCCCTACCAGGGATTGAACTGCAGTCTGGGCATGTGCCCTGACCAGGAATTGAACCTGCAACCTTTTGGTGCATGGAACAACACCCATCCAACTGAGCCATACTGTGTCTTACACTCTATTTCCGAATGGATTGAAAATTGCTTAAATGTTATCTTTAAGATACCTTTATCCTAAAATGTCAAACTTGTAAGTATCTAGATTGATTTTATTTATAAATAACTTACAATACCAGTACTGTATCTTTTAACTCATATATTGCAGTTAAAGTATTTTCATGATTATGAAAAATAAAAAATATCATCTAAACTATCAATTTATTAAATTTTAATTTGTAAGGTAACTGCAATCACTAAAACACAAAGGTAAATATGCCCGAATTCAAAGTGAGAATTATAGATACCAATCTAATACCATTAGGAATACTTTTTAGTGACAGTGACACACTATTTGTAACCTTCTTGTTTATATTCCTGACTGTGAACAAGCTTGTAAAGGTTGGTTCTGATCAGACTTAGGAACTACGACCAAGAAACAATAGGTGCTAATTGGTCTATGGGGCAATTAGTCCATGTGGAGCCTTTCAGAATGCCTTCATCCCAAATAAACTGAGTAAATGGCTATGACTACTGAGCTATGGAATACAGACGCGAGTCACGATGCCTACCCACACTAGAGAAATTACTTCTACCGCACTGATCTGTTTTAGTGATATGAGAAGTTATGTCAGGGATAACAATCTCTATAAATGGATTACAGACCACCCATTTTATTACTATTTAGCTTCTGTTAGCTTAGTGTTAGTTGAAACAACAGAAAGGAATAGAACTCATAAGAAGAGTATTAGCAAACGTGGGCAAAGTCAATGCGAATTTGAAGATTTTTATGCATTTAATCCATTTGCAGAGTTGCTTACAGTTACAAAAAGCTAGATATATGGAACCTAAGCATATTGCCTTGTGATTTACCACTAAATAGTTCATGTGTTTGAAGAAATTCTTCATAAACTTTGAGAAAATTTAAAGTTTCCATTCAATATTTTTTTCTCCAGATAATATATAACGTATTTCTCTGTTGTTTTTTCTCTCACAGGGACAATGTCCTAACGTCTCAATTACTTTTGTTTCTCTCTCTCTCTCTCTCTCTCTCTCTCTCTCTCTCTCTCTTTCTCTCTCTCTCTCTCTCTCCATATATATACACACATATATTTTTAATCCTCACCTGAGGATATTTTTTCCATTGATCTCTTCAGAGAGTGTGGAGCGGAGGGAGGAGGGGGGAAGAGAGAGAGAAACATTGGTATGAGAGAGACCCACTGACTGGTTGCCCCCTGCATGCACCCCAACAAGGGCCGGGGATCGATCCTGCAACCCAAGTACATGCCCTTGACTGGCAATCAAACCCTTTGGTCTGCAGGCCGATTCTCTAACCACCGACTAAAACTGGCTAGGGAAGATTTCTGTGTATTTTAATAAACTGAGTTAACTTATGGAACCATAGAGCACAAGCCTGAATGTTTCAGCAAAGCACCTGAGCAGTGCTTAGTGGACTGGGTTATTGTAAAAAAGGGTTAGAATTTGTAAAAGATCATCTCAGCTCCATATTGAAAGCATTCTTAAGATTATAGGTATTTTAAAGTCAATAATAATAATAATAATAATGATCAGCAACAACCCTAATTAAAAAATGTCTAGGTTTTCTTGCCAAAATCAATCCTACAAATTTGAGCATGATTATGAAGACTGTTTAACAGCATGGAACTAACCCAGCAATGGATAACAGGTGCAATTCCAATTTTAAAAATGCTGTGAATACAATAATTTATTCAACGTTATTCTTTGTAACCCACAAGGACTCAAGGTTGTTTAGGCAGTGGTTCTCAACCTTCCTAATGCCGCGACCCTTTAATACAGTTCCTCATGTGGTGGTGACCCCCAATTTCATTGTTACAAACTGAACATAATTAAAGCATAGTGATTCATCACAAAAACAATATGTAATTATATATGTGTTTTCCAATGGTCTTAGGAGACCCCTGTGAAAGGGTCGTTCGACCCCCAAAGGGGTCGCGACCCACAGGTTGAGAACCGCTGGTTTAGAGGAAAGCCCACTAGATGAGAAGAAAGAAGATTTGGGTCCCAGCTTTCATCCCGTCACTTGGTAGGCTTGTCCCGTTAAGTCCCCGGCCGCGGTTTCCTTACTCGCAGCCGTTTCATGTATCTCCACGGCTACATGGTGCCTGGCACACAGCAGGCACTCGGGGAGTGTTCGCTGGTAACGAACGAATGACTGAGGCTGACAAGCAGACACTGTCACTCACACTTTCAGAAGGGGTGCTATGAGGTGTCGATGATACAGCGATGGGTGGGAAGACGGTTGGAGAACCTCATAATGCTACATAGTCATACAGTACAAGTCCTTTTTATAACTGGAGAAAGATATTCTTCTCCATTGTTAAAATATGGACACGTTTTTGGTACCTAATTTAAGAAGAAATTGAGGTAAATGTGTCAATAACTGCACGTTATTTCAAACCACTTCAGCTTATATATCTATAAATATTCTGAGAGAAATAGGCTACATCTACCCAAAACCTGAGAAGACTTCAGTGACTGCTGAAGAGTAACATGAGCCCTAGCCGGTTTGGCTCAGTGGCTAGAGCGTCGGCCCGAAGACTGAAGGGTTCTGGGTTCGATTCTGGTCAAGGGCACGTACCTTGGTTGCAGGTTTCTTGGCCCTGGTCAGGGTGCATGCAGGAGGCAACCAATCGATGCATCTTTCTCACATCGATGTTTCTCTCTGTCTCTCCCTTTCCTTTCCACTCTCTCTAAAAATCAATGGAAAAATATCTTTGAGTGAGGATTAACCAAAAAAAAACCCAAAAACAAACAAAAAACAATAACATGACTTTAGAGATAAAACATCTGATTTTCAACAGTGCCACTAAATTCTCCAAACAAGTTCAGATTAAAAAGTCAAATGTGAATTCTCTATACTATAGCACTGTCATAATTCATAATATCTGACCATATTTTAATGAGACTTATATGCACTAAAGTTGAAAGGTCTGCCCTGGCCGGTGGCTCAGTTGACTAGAGCATCGCCCCCTACACCCAAAGAGGCTGCAGGTGTGATTCCTGGGCAGGGCACTTCCTAGGTTTCAGGTTCAGTCCCCGTCCCGGTATATACACGAGGCAACCGATTGATGGTTCTTCTTCACATCGATGTTTCTCCCTCTCCCCTTCCCCTCTCTCTGAAATTAATTAAAAAGAAATTCTTGCAGCCCACTGGTGTGCCTCGGCATACCAGCTGAAAACAGCTGCTACAGAGAAGGGAAGCTCAATGGCTGACATCTCTGATATCTAACATTATAGATCATATTTACTAAAAAGACCCAAAACCCACAAATTAGAAAGATTAAGGAAAAATATGTTAGTTATATATAGTGATAATGGGAAGCCTGTATATAAGCATAATTCTCATTAGTTTATAGATTCTTGATATTCTACTATTAAATAAATGAAGTATTTAAATTTTACTTACTATTAGTTTTATTTCAACATACTCGATTTGCCCAGTCCATTACAGAAAAAGACACGTTGACTAAATTCAACATAATTTGCATAGCCTGAGGGACCCCCCTCATTACCTGATTGCTTGCAATGCTGGTTGGCTGTAGGCTGGTTTCACCCCTCCCAGGATTCTCTGCCTTGAAACTGTTCTTCCCTCCCCAAGGATCTCCTCAGTCCTAACGGATCTTCTTCCTCCTCTTCTTCCTCTATTAGCTTCTCATATGGGGCGTCGGTGCTTGCGAGCAACCTCTGCTCCTGGAATTCATCACCCGTCGTGGGGTCTCTCGTGGGTCCAGGACCACCAGGCCCGTCCTCGGGCTTCAGAAACCGATGCTTGTCCTCCTTTTGCTCATACGTGTTCAGCCTCCTCTCAACCACTTCACGAATCAACACTGAAAAATTGTATGTACAGAAGTCACTGTGATTTTTTGTATTTTAGTGGTGATAATGCTGATGTGTGGATGCACATAAAATATTTACCAGACCTCGGCCCTCCCCCATGTCAGGGTCTTTTATACAGCCAGTGCTCTTCCTTTCTGAGCCGCTTAATGAATCGAATATGAGTTATCCTCAGTGCCTTTTTAACAAGGTGCCACTCATAAAGTAACGACAAAAGAGATGAATTCTGATTGAAGTATAGAAAAATAAAAAATAATATTGAGGGTAAAAATGTGCATGTTGGTTCATTAATATAACTGATGTACTGAAAAATTAAGAACTAAAACTGTAAAGTTAACATCTTTCTTCTATTATTCTTTCTACTGAAAAATTTGAGAGATGACTTTTAAATAAAATAACTTACTGTCAAGCACTGTCCTTCCCACCATGCTGTGCTCCATGGTTTTGTCAACTTCGTTCATTAGCCATGGAAGGAATCCGAGCTCAATATCTATGATAAAAAAGTTAATTGTAATCATTAAGTAATTTTTATGAATCATTATAGATAGGAAGAATCTGCTTTTCCCTTAAGGTTACAATGTCAATATTGTCAAAATTGTTTTCTTAATACAAAATGTTAAATAGACTCACACAGCATTAGTTTTGCCATATTCGCTCTATATGTACTGGCCCATTTCCTATCTATTGCAGTAGAAATAGTATTTTCAAAACTATGAGGCCTTCCTTAGAATTGGCTTTACAGGTGTATCTGAGATGGAGTAAGGAGGTGGGGGTGGGAGGGGGTGTGGACTTGGGAGAAGAGCAATCTACATGCAGAGCCAACCTGGGATTGAGCAATGCCTGGAAAAACACGCCCCCACCTTAGCCTGGGGCCAATGGCTACTGATCAAGACTCAGAAGAGTACAGTTCAGAGGGCATCTGAGAAGAAGGCCTCTATAAACTGGGGGTTTCCATAGTGATAAAGCTGTTCAAACTGAAATGAAATCCACTACTGTATAAGCCTTTTATTTATTTTTATTTTTTTAATATATTTTTGTTGATTTCAGATAGGAAGGGAGAGGGAGAGAGAGATAGAAACATCAATAATGAGAATCATTGACTGGTTGCCTCCTGCACCCACCCCACTGGGGATGGAGCCCACAACCTGGGCATATGCCCTTGACCAGAATCGAACCCGGGATACTTCAGTCTGCAGGCTACCCGGGATACAGTCAGCAGGCTGATGCTCTATCCACTGAGCCAAACCAGCTAGGGCTATGTAAGCCTTTCAAAAATATGGTCCATTATAATATACATTTTAATGTTCAAAAATAGTTTTTTTTGAGGGTAGGCATCTAATTTTTATTTTTCAATTGGGTGACAACAGTGTGATAGAATATTATATTCATTACTATAAATAATTTCAAGCTAGGCATGAATCTCTGTACAAGCTTTTAAATGACCTACAGGGACTTTTTCAGAACCTCATGCTAAACCCAGGGCAGTGGCAGGCGGCGTGGAGAGCGCTCTGGGCCTGCAGTGGAGGGTCTGGCCGGTCTGAGCCTCCCGCCTCCTGGGGGAGTGGTCGGGAGCCAGGCCATGGGAATTAATGGGAATTAACCCGCCCTATCCACCCCACAGGGTTACTGGGAGGGTCACATGGCATCATGTATGAAAAACACTATATAAATTAGAAAGCACAATATAAATGTAAACTAATAATATTGGTGTGTAATCTGACCTCTGCACATTGAACTGAATATGGAATCAGTGAACCTGCACATTACTAACATCTGCCCCAAATACTACTAGCCATTTGAAACAGCACCTGTGCACGCAGCGTTGTGGATTCAAGCACCTCTGAGCCCGAGGGAGGAGGGTGGCAGTGAGAAATGGCAGCCCGGACCGCCATTGGCCAGATGAGCTGCGGGGAGGGGCTCCGGGGATGCTGGCAGTTTGGGTCTTCAAGGCAGCGATTAGTCAGTCGCCTTTTTATCTCCAACACCTAATGCAGTGCCTGGGACGTGCCGGCACCTAACTCAATAAGTAAGTGACCTTACTTGCTGCCCTGAAAAGTTTATTTTTTAAATATATTTTTATTGATTTCAGAGACAGGAAGGGAGAGGGATAGAAACATCAATGATGAGAGAGAATCATTGATCGACTGCCTCTTGCATGCCCCCTACTGGGGATCCAGCCCACAACCCAGGCATGTGCCCTTGACCAGAATCGAACTGGCTCCTGGGTTGACATTCAACCCCTGAGCACACAGGCTGGGCCAGGGGTTTTTGATTAGAATAGTAAGTCAGCTGAGAAAAAGTTAATAACAACAACTTACATACACAGTGCTTTATAGCTTACAAACATTTCACATGGATTATGACATTTAACTCCTAAGTAATCCTCATTTCACAGTAAGAAAACTAAAGGTCATAAAGCTATTTAAGGATGAGACTGGGTCCCAAACCCAAACTTTTTCACATCAAGTCCATATTTCTTCCTACTATCCAATGTTGCTTCTGAATAAAGGCAAACTGGCATCCGAAAATCAAGATCTTTATAACCCACTTATTAGTAACACCTTTTACTTAAAACTACTACAATTGACTTTTAAATCTGCATCAGAGATAGGAAGATCCCATTTGGAAATAAAGTGGGCAGGAGATACATCTGAACTGTGAAGAAGACGCCCATAGTAACAGGGTTAAGCTAATAGGAACCTCCACAAACCTCTCTCAACCGGATCAAAAAAGTAGCCCCCCTCCTTGAGGCTGTCGAACACGGAGGGGAGCAGGTCGGCCAGGTAGCGCTGCGAGAAGGCGCGGGCAGCGATCTTCTGCGAAGTCTCCTTGTGCTTGTGCATCACCTCCCACTGCTGCTGCTTCCGGCGCTCCTGCAGGACAGACCCCAGCATTCATGGTTACTCAGTGGTCACGACCTCCCCAATCCTGAAGCGAGTTCGAGGGAGAATTTGGACTTATATTTGTATCAAAAGAACGGACAGCAAGATGTCTATTAAAGGTTCCTAGTTTCCATCAAGATGGTAATGAATTTCAACAGCTAGTAGGTACGGTCAGTGTTCATTTTATATTTGTAAACAAATAGCGTAGCATTTGCACAATCTTAACCATAAGCCGTATGCTCTTCCCACTTGGGAGGGAACTGAAAGTCCATTTGATTAGGCACCCAGTAGCCTATCCCAGCAGCTAAGCCTTTCTGCGCAGTCAGTGGGGCCCTGGGAAGCTGTCTGGGCTGTGCCAGGTGTCCCGGCGCTCCGTCACCATTCATTCTCCCAGTGTGAGCCAGACACACCGAGCCTCGTGCTTCCTAGCTGGAGGTTAGGGCATATTTTAAAAATTGGATTCTAAAGGTTTCCTTATGAAAGGCTGTAAAAACCTATAATTTTAAAGATGTTCTCTAAGGACCCAAGTGGTTCTGGTGTATTTCTAAGGATAGGAGAGGGTCTAGCCGCTGAGAAAGACCCAGAACCCTACACAGACCCTCTGTGTCTTATCGCCCCCCATTCAGATACACTTACCTTTTCCGTCCACACCTCCTGCCACTAACTTTTGGCAAATTGGTCTGTTCTTTCACTGGGGCTCCTGCTAGTTAAGAGTGCCTTGCATTGGGACACACGTAACTTAAATAACCTAGGAA